AAGTTGCTCCAAAATCGGGTAAAAGTCCCTGTACTATAGTACATGGTCTCGGACCAAATTTTGCCAAAATTGGAAAGGAGAGAAATCTCCACTTTTATAATTTTATCTGATACATATATATGTTCTTATGTTGTGTAGAAAGTTTGAACTGATTCCAATCAAAACTGAATTTTTTATGAATTTTTAAAGTTGTTCAAAACTAGACCAAAGTCCCTTTACATATTAGTACAGATCTACTCTTGGTACAGGATACTAGTATTTCATAAAGGGGAGAGAACACACTCTCTCTCTCTGTGACTCGCTTTATCTTTATATAGTCTCCTGGTTTGTTGGCCAAGAAGAAAGAGTTAGAAGAGAAGGCTAGGGCTCAGCGCGAGGAAATAAACCAGCAAAGGAAGTCAGAGGCACAAATGAAACTGCACCAGCAACTGAAGAAACAAGAAGTAATGAAGTAACACTTTTATATAATTTTTAATGATAGATATTTCTCTCTGTTAGTTGCTAAGAAGACAACAGGATCAGCAGAGGGCAGTCATTAATTGGCAAGCTAATATATCTCCTCACTCGTCAACTGATGAATCCTCTCACCAGGCAAAGTCTGAAACTGCCGATGAAGTAATTTATTAACTTAAAAAATAATAATTAACGTCTTTATTTATTAACTAGGAGCCTGTGAAAGTTGACAGGTAAGCCTATGCATGTACGAATGTATTTTTAGGTTTTGTTCTTTCTTTGTAAGGCAACAGATTGTGTCTGATTTCCATCAGGTCAGACAGGAAGCTGCCGCTAACAAAGCCAGGGCTCAAGCTCAGCTGATGGGCGGGGCTAATCTTGGTGTGGGCGTGGCTAAGCAAGGAGGTGTGGTCAAGCCAGTGGAGAATAAACCACCTAACAATGCTGAACAAGTACAGTATATGTTTCTAAATTTTTGTGCTAATTTTTTATTATTTTAGGAGTATCTTGCTAGATTGGAGGACATTCGAAGACAAAATTTCCAAGAGAGGAAGAGAGTCCAGGAAAGAGTATCCATGTATTGTCACGGCAACCAAGCCCCGCCCATCCCCATTCCTAAAGTTAATCCTGAAGCCAGGAGGAAGAAAATAGCAGCTCTGAAGGTATTTTTATTATTTTTAAAAGAAAATTTTATTGGACAAATATCTTTCAATAAGAAATGTACATGTACATGTAAGTACACAATTTTTTATATTCACTGTAGGCTCAAGCGGAATCAGAGTCTGTGAAGTTGAGGGAACAGGTTGAGTTGAAGCAGAAACAAAGAGCAGCACTGCATTCTAATGTATCTCCTCCTCGTAAACAGTGGGTGGTACCAGACATGCCTCCTTCACTGGCTGAAGGTGATGCCACTAGTGCTACAGTGAATGAAAGTAGGCCAGAAAATTAATTTGTAATTCTTTTTTAATTTGTATTTTTCTTATTTTATAGAGACTACTTCTGATGTTGTTTTTGAGCGTCCAAAGCCACGCCCAGCTTGGGGTGTGGCTGACACACCCCTTGAAATCCCTGCAATGCCCACTCAAGACATCTCAATATGTCCAGAAGAAACGGCCATATTGTTTGAAAATAAGTCACGCCCACCAAAAGAAGATGCTGGAGAGATTGGAAAAACTAGAGTGATAAGTTTGGAAAGTCACCATTATAGCAACGAGGGTGAGAGGCAGAGGTCCCCAGGAGAGGAGGAGAAGGGAGATGATAAAACTGACGGAGGAAGTGAAGATGAGAATAAGAAAGAGACTATAGCCGTTTGGAAAGAAAGCAAAGATGAAG